CCCCCCCCCCCCCCCCCCCCAAACATGGTTATAATGATGACAGATTGCAAACTGATGTGTTTTGGTATGCAGTTTATATTTGTAAAGTCCAAGAACCATTTTCAAAGTGAACATTGAATTTTATGGTTGAATTATATAAGTATATAATATATAAGTATATAATATATACCTTAGGAAATTCTATACTAGATAAATAAGTCTGTGAACAGTTACTCCATTCTGTTTTAAATGTTTATTTGTTTCTATATATCTGTGATTTAAGGTTAAAGGATATTTCAGAGTTTAATTTTAAATGTTACATGTGCATTTAATATGGATGCAAGGGAAAAATTTAGTGTTCTGTTTATTAACTCTGTGGCCTGAAAAAACTTTCTAATGTCATGCTTACAGTTTGAAATCTCCTTAGGTCTTTGCTTGAATTATTCAATTAAAAAGTTTGATTAAGGTACAATTTGTGTCCTGTTTCTAACAGTAAAAAAGGATTCTGCTGTATTACTGATTATTTCCAGGTAAAAAGAAGATATTAAATATGTAGAAGAGTTTTAAAAAACAGTAAAAGCAATTACATGATTCTGATTTTTCAGATAAAACCCATAGTTGTTTCTAATTCTGTTTTCCAGTTTCCATAGCTAGACGTGTCCAAGACCCATTAGCTGAGCTAGTGAAAATTGAGCCCAAACACATAGGAGTTGGAATGTATCAGGTAAGATAATACGTATCATTTAATCTAAGTAATCTGTCATGATATACAGCAATGCCAAAATGCTGCTTTATAATAGTCAACTAGTTACGTCTCCTTTAAAAGACATTTGTAGAGTTGATAGAATGGTAGTAAATACTTAGAAGTCATAGACTGCCTCTTTTTTTTTAATCTCTACTTTTAACGATTGTGATTGAGATTCTGAAATGGCTGTAGCCAGATGTATAGTCTATTAAAAACATCAAATCAGACAGGTAACCTGAGCTGTAAAGCTTTCTCTTTTTTTGTATTGTTACAGCAATGGGGTTTTAGCTCTTTGTGTAAAATACAATGAGATATTGATCCTCCATTTGGAAGCCATTAATTTGTACTATTAGGTGCATTCCTTCTTAGAAGTTTGTAATAAAAGCATTTGTTTTGAAGTTTTTCATTTACTAAAGCTGAATGGGAAAATGTTTGACAATTCTTATTTTTATGCATTTCTGTAGGTTATTTCTGAGAAGTAACTTTTACCTTCAAGGTGTCTTTACAAAGTGAATGGTACTGAGAAGTGGTACATAAGTTATTGTCATTTTATAGCATATTGGCATTGATTCAGGAAGGCATTTATGCATATGCTTAAGTTCCAAATAGAGAAGTCAAAAAAAAAAAATCGAGAAAAGCACATGCTGAATTTTCTATTTTTGAAACTATAGAATGTGAAAAATGTAAATTTGAAAGGCTGGCACAGAATTCAGTACAGAAAGCACAGATCTGTCTGGACCTGTGCTTTCAGGTTAGCGCATGAGAGTTCACGGGATAGAATGCGATTAGCAGCCTAGAATCCTTTACTGCCACTGCTAAAGGTGGCGTGACAAAGAAAGGTGCTATGAAAAATTTCAAAGTGCATATTCTGTTTTGTTTTTAAAGAACTGAGGTCAACATTTTAGCATGCAGTGCTGCTTTTGCAAGCCCTGCTTGTATTGCCACAGACTATGAAATGTATTCATATTGCTTGCTAATTGCAAAAATTATCAGTAAAACTAACTTGTATAGTTAATCTTTCAGCATGAGCTATACCATAGTTTTTGAGGAAAATTAGATTGAAGGGCTGAAATACTGTAGATTTCTTTAACATATGTATCCAGGTTTCAGTAAAAAATGCACCTTAATGATGGCAGTTATAAATCAGGGGTGGTCATCAGGAAAAAAGAGGAGCTGCAATCTGAAGCATAGTTGGTTTCCTTACTTGTGGAGGCCCACTGCTTTTACTTAGAACAGTAACAGCAATAACAATAATGAAAAATGGTACAGATCTTTGTTGGTCCTTGCTCTAAAGAAAGTATTTAACAACAACAAAAAAAATCTTGAAACATTGTGTCACACTTCGAGAAGTTGTTGGTTGGGGTTTTTTAAACAAAATTTTTTAAAAAATCAATTCCAAAATGGGATGTATATTTGAAGTATACTGTGAATTCATAAGTATGAGGAGCTTGCATTGCTGTGGCTAAAAGGTATTGATTTAGATGCACACTATCTACTACAGCCCACGTGCACATTGTACAAGCATACATCTAAAGCAAAAAGGCACGGAGTTGGTGGTGCTTGTATGGTTTTGGGAGCATGATATTATTAGGCGAATGTTGCAGTGAACGTATTGTAGCAGTTCACTATTCCTTAGTGACTGAAGCTGGCATCATTTACTTTGCACTGAAACAGAGCAGGGTAAGTACCATGTTCCTGGCCATTTCAGAGGAGCTTCTAGGTCCACTACAGGTGTTTTACAAGTAAATGCCCAACTGCATTATTTGCTCATGTCCAGATTGGTTGTATGAAAAGTTTCAGAGAAATAATTCCTACAAGCCTGGTAGAGGTCAACCTCAAGAATTGTTCATTCCCAGCTGTCTGTACTTTTAAGTCTCATCATGGCTTGAATAAATCCTCTGAGATAGTTACACCTCCTGTCAGAATTCTTAAGTATCACCACAGAAGCTATAAGATGCTCCTTGAAAAATATAGACATTTCTGAGGTACTAGAGCTTTATGTGACACTACTGAAAGCAAATTTGCATTCTTGAAAGCAAAGTCAGAGCTCTCCAGTGGCAGGGAGGGGAAGGGGACAGAAGAGGAATGAAGCTGTTATGACTGGTCTTCCTTCAGAGAGAACAGTCACTTGCTGGCATCTCGAGGGCAGGCATGGAAAAAGCTGTTGCGTTGTACAGGGAGTCCCAGAGTAATAGCTGATATAATCCCTCAGACAAAGAATATATTGGGCACAGAATTTTATATTATCCAAGACAATTTGAAAGGTTTTATTACATTTTCCTTTATAATCTAATTGCTGGCTGTAGCATTTTTATTAATTTCTGGGATGAAATATGCAATGCTCAGTCTAGATCAAAAATGTAACAGGCTTTTCACAGAGGTGTTTATTTTCTTAGCACACTGTAACTATAAACCTAGCATTTAAATATGACCTCTCCTTTCTTAAATACCCTGAAATTGATATTTAAGAATCTGACAAATCCAGGTTTTGACATTCTTGTCCTGCAGGACAGCAGTCCTGCGTTCTGCCTCTTTAGGCAGAGGCCGGCTGAGACTCTGTGCTGCTGCCGATGACTGTGGAAGCCGTACAGCACCAGCAGGATGGTGGTTTCGTGGGGGATGGTTGCACGCTGTGTGTTGACCAAAGCACGAGCTCCCTGATGGGGTGGTCCTGCCTTTTCTGCTACTTCTGCCCAAGTGCCCTGATACTTTTCTGGTGCTGGTAATGGCTACGTGATGTCCTGGCTTGGCATAAGGGAAGGGCAGCAATTCATAGCTTGGGGGAGGAGTGGAGCTGGGGCTGCTGCTTTCACAGCAACCTGAGTTTTGATTGACTTGGGACATGGCCTCTCTACCAGTTTAAGATAGCCAGAGGTCCCAAATTCCTCTGCTTGAAAGGCAGTGGTAGAGACATTAATTTCTCTGTCTTTTCTGGGAGTTTTTTCTCAGAGGTTGAAGGGAGAGACTGGTGAAGTAGAACATGCATGAGGAAGGATGTAGCTTTTGTAATGGGACTGTGGGACGGGAAGGTCGTATGTTCAGCTGAGTGACCCCCTTGGGCAGGAGCAGCAATGACAGTAGTGCTACAGGAAAGTGAAGCGGTTGTGTTAAATCTGCTGCTGACAGTGTATACCCCCATCCCCAAGGGTATGGTGCGAGGGGGCTGCGTCTTCCGTAGTCACCGCTTCCATGGGATTTTGGATCCCTCCCACCTGGCCTCTTGGTACTTAATGTGCATGTTTGTGAGAATATAGGTGTTTCCTATTTTTTTTTGTAGTGCAAGTTTTCCAGGCAAATCTGCTGATTTGGGTAGGGATACTTTGAGTATGGAAACAGGAGTTTCCAGGTAGCAGGAGATCTCTGGAAACTGAGTCCCATCAGTTGGGATTTGTGTTTACTTATTTTAGATGACAAGAAAATTTGAAACTTGTACTTGACCACCTGCTTTTATTCTCATTTCAACTTATGGTTCTGAGTTTGTGCACTACCAAGAAAATCAAGTTTGTCAGAGAAAAATAAACAAGCCCCAGATCTCCTAACAGGTATTTCCTTAAACAAAGAGATTTATTAGGGCCTCTCTCAGACGAAAATTCCAGTTGCCTAAAGGTCCTTGTCTTCCTTCATCTTTATCTCATTAGGAAAATTGTTCTTTCCTCCCAGACAGGAACCTAGCCAAAATTAATTTATCACCTTCAGGCCATATTACTATGATTTCTTCTGTAGCTGAACATGAGGATGATGCCTAGACTCTGTCTGATACAGAATATGTTTGCCTTGCCACCTCCCCATGCCAGTTCAAAGATAAATTCCTATCAGGGAAGAAGCAGTTAGTGGTTCAAGACTTTATTATGCTGCAAACTGAATTTTGGCTGATGAATTACCACTACAGTTGTAATGATCTTGGAAGATGTAGATAGGAGCTGAGAACAAAGCTGCTTCACAAAGATTGCGGTTAGGGAATTGAATTCCAGAGAAAGAAAATGAATAAAAAGTAAAAAAGATGCCTAAAGAAGAAAAAAAAATTCCTTCCTCTCAAACAGAAACCCAGCTTTTCATAGGAGAATAAAACAGTACTAGAATAAACTTTCTGTCCACCAGTCCCTATCAAAGACAGCCTCAAGTAAAGGAGGAATTAAATGAATAAACTTTTAAAAAGTCAAAACTTGAATCCATATTACAAGGCAGAGAAAGAAGAAATAATGCTGAGGGATGGTGCTAAGTTTGGTTGGTCTTTCACTGTTCATTTAATGTGCAAAGTCCTTGGATGCTAAAAAGACAGTAACCTCTAGGGTTTTAAAGAGCTAGGTGGAACTCAAACTCACCTGTAGCCTAAGAACAAAATACGTGTTGTGTGTTGAATGATCAGAATTTTTAATGAGTCATGTATGATATTAAAAAGTGTGCATCACGTCTGGTCTTGAAAAAACAACATCTTATTTGATCTTTGTAATTTTTGGAGCACAAAAATCTCACAGAAATGCTAATTTTGATACGTGGTAACATCTTCACTGTTTAACACATTTGGAAAATTAACATCCCAAAAGGATATAAGAGATAATATATGTAGTTTTGTAACCTCTGAAGTAGAAGAATACTTGATTCCGGATGTAGCTGGAACATTTTGTGTCAAATAAAAAAATTTGTAAACGATAATCTTAAGTAGCAATTCTTTCAGGGAAAAAAAATGGTTGTGCTAATTCTTGGTTTATTTTCTATGTAATGCTGGAAAGTCCTGATTAAAGGAGAGTTTCATAAAGCCTAATCAAAATGCCTAATAATTAAATTTGGAAATGCCTTTTCTGTCCCTCTTGTCCTTTTTCCTCCCCATGTTCCCCTCGTTCTTGAAGTCTGTCGGTTTTGCATTTGATTATTACCTTTATTATTTCAGTTGCAATTTGGTGTGCCTTTTAGACTTTGTTTTTTTCCCCTCCAAAAGATGGGTATGTTTTATTAAATGACAGTGCAACTTTAGGGAATGC